CCCGAATTACAAATAATTCATTTCTATTTAATTGCTCGAATTACCTACTCATGTTTAAGATCTTACGTTTGTCGATTAATTTAATTACTGATAAGTTAATTAATCGATATCAATATCTGAAACTAGTACCACCCAGTTCATTCTTATTATGTCGGAAACTAATTCCGCCTGTAGGGCACGACATAATAAACTTTCTTGAACTTATTTCGGAGACGTCATGACCCGGCGGACCGAGACACAGTGACCGTAAATAAACTCTACAACACAATATGTACTCGGCCCTTACATTCCAAACTACCGAGTCAATTGGCCTGCTAGAATAAGCTTCAACTTGGTAAATCAAAAAAGCAAGTTATGAATACATATGCTTGTTTATATTATCTTATGGGTTAAGAGACGCAACAATTAGTGAGGTGTAAATTATTTACTTGGTCAGTATAAAATAATTTTATTCTCCACAAGTCCGTCCAATACATCCGAGATGTACTCTTGTAATTCATCAACAAAAGACCAATTGATTCAAAATTACACTACAACTTTTCACGACAGTTAGTTCAATTCTGTCTGAGTTGTGAACAATCAATTTATATTTTATAATACACCGATATAATCTTTATGTTCGACAAATCGAACCATATAATCTAAAATGTAAAATAAATGAACTATGTTCCTATAAATAAATAAGATGCAAACATGCACTTGACTAAAACATGATCTTTATTCAAAATCGCATTATCGCAAATTGAAAGTCAAACTTTTATTTATACCCTAACAATGTAGTTCTTAAACTCAATCATAAGGTTGTTAAGCAAGCTAAACCGTCCGACATCCCTCTATATATATTTTCAGAATATGATAAGTCTAAATGACAGACTCGCATGCTTGAGAAGCTTATTTGACATAAAGTTGTGTTTTGTATTGACATATATGTAGATCTTGGTTTAACAACTAGGTTTTGAGAATTACCATAACGTTATTTTACCTTTTCTTTTCTTAAATTATCATATATTACTTTTTCTTTTTTGTAAATTACCTTACAATACATTTTCTTTTTCTTATTTAATCCATATATTTATTATCATAAATATTTATCATCCTTATTTTTTAAAATATAACTTTTTTATTTGTATATTATTTTTCATATATGATATGTTAAAGTAATCATCTTTTAACGACTTTTTATTTGATATTCATATTGCATATATCATATAAAATTAGATGTCTTTATAAATAAAATTTTATTTATCATACCAAGAGAAATATCAAATAAAACTACAAATTAGTTCATAAAATGACAAAAATATTTTTATTAGTGTTGAGTATTAACGAAAAAATGAATATGAAAAATATTAAAAAAATGATGTCTCTAGTTTGAATATTATTATAATGTTATAAATAAGCATAAGAAGGAATGACATAATTAAAAATAATATATATATTTATACTTATATAAAAAAGGCATTCTATTTACTAGAATTGGTAGTAAGAAAAGTCAAAGGTAATTAATTCATTCTATTTCCATCAAGTATTTTGTAGTTAATTGTTTTATCTCATAACACCTTTTCAATACAACTTACCATGATTTTTCTATTGTGATTAAAAACCAAATTTTACGTTTTAAATATTGTGAAATTATTATTATTATTTTTATAAATCACATATTTGTTAAAAAATTGTATATATATAATACACATCACAGTACCATGGTAGATGATTTAAATTTCAACCGACCAAAATGTCAATGATTTAAATTTGGACACACCTATGCGTTTGACCAAATGTTTGGATGATTTAAAATTGAGCCCATAATAAATTTTTTAAATTTGAACACACCAGAAATTTTATGTACTTAATTTATAAATATATTGAAAGTGGTATTTAATGACTGTTATATAAACTATTTTAATATATTTGCAATGAATAAAAGTTTGAATGAATAATTTGTAATATTATTCATAATGTTTGTGACTTATGAGACACGAACACATTACTCCATACATATTTGCCAGATGGCGGGTTAATAATTTTTTAGACTTAATATTGATTAAATAGCATTATTACTTTTTAGACTTAAACGGACAGAATTGTGAAAATAACTCATTTAATATATTTGTCCAGTGCATTGCACGGGGTACGTACTACTATATTATAAAGATAGAAAATATTACATTTGTAAATATTAATTTATATTTCAAGTCATCAAATATTATAAATTTAGAATACCTAAAAATGAATATATTCGAAATCAATTCTAAAGACATAAATGTAATTACAATACAACAAGGATTTATAAAAAAAACTAAAAAAATATTATAGATAACATTTGCTTTGGACATACATAATTTAATAAATATAATTAAAAATTATTATTTTTGTGTAGAACACGAAGTTCATTTTAAATAATATCACTTTGTGATAACTTTATTGTTTATAATTTAACAATAAGAATATAAATATTTAGTAATGTCATTTTTTTCAAAGACTCGTATAATACAAACTTTAGTATAGGCAAAAATTACATATATATCAATACACCACTTTTAATATTGTTGTAATTTAATCACCATATTTACAATGTAACAATTTAATATACCACATTTACAATTTTTGCAAAACGAATCATGACCCACGACGCCGTCTACAGAAAACTGACATGACGTTGATAGAAACTAAACGTGTACTAACCTAAAGACTCATTGTCCTGGACCGGCGCTCGACATCCGTTCGACCTTCCTGCCACTCTGTTCGACCAACCAATTGAATCGGCCTGGTCAGCCAATTTATTGGGCTTGCACAATATAAAACCCTTTATATCGATAACAGATTTATTTTGGCCAACCAGACAATTCTCCTTTGTTCCTTTTCCCAAAATATTTCAAAATTTAAATTCTACCAAAGTATGTCCAACCACCCAAATAAATGGGGACCTCCAGACTTGCTAAAGTTTTAAATATGTCAGTGTACTGTATGATAGTCCAGTTCTCTTTCACTATTTATGTTACTATATTTTATTCAAAATTTAAACTCATAATAATTCAACTTATCTTGAAAAAAAATTCAATATATAATGAAATTATGAAATGGAAAATAATCCACTCTTACCTTAAATAATTATACATTAATAAACAAAACCCAAAATCAACAATCAATAGTGAACATTAATCAAAGAAGAAAGGTAAAAAAAAAAGCGAAAAAAAAATGAAAAAACACACACAACAAAGTAGATATGTAAACCATCAGTTTACTGATCAAGCGCATTAGGTCCGGTGCAGTAATTCAGTAGATGGTTCCACACCCACTGGACCAAGAACCTCCGTCGGATACCCTTCATGTTATACGTGGCACCATCCCTGTCGTTCAACATCTGCCCTGTGTACGACCCGCCCCCGCCCGTCCCGTAGATCCCCTCGCACAGATCTGCTATCTCCACCGGAAAACTCGGGTCCTGACCCGCGTACCACGCGTTCACCAGCGGGTTCGTCGCCAGTTCCGCCACCTCGTGTGCGATCACGCTCACCATCCCATCCACCCCGACGTCGCCGTTCGGCGGTAAGACGGCCTTCACCCCCGGCATGTACTCCGGCACCGCGAATGGGTACGCGCACACGCCGGGGCACAGCTTTGCGGAGTTCCCCACCCACGCGTACGGGAGCGTGTACCCCACGATCGACGGGAAGGTGAAGTAGTGGAAGCCGCACACGTTGTCGCAGAAGTCCTGGACGTACACGTCGTCCGACGTCAGCAGGAGGTAGACGCCGCCCTTGGGGTTGATCGGGAGGGGGCGCGTGGAGGCGGAGATCGCCGATTTTATGACCGACTGCACGGAAAGGCGCGTGAGACGCCGCCCGTGGGAGTAGAACCGGTCGTTCTTCTCCGACCCGATCCGTACGGTTCCGGAAGCGTTGGCGCCGGTCTGGTCCGTGTAGAGCCGGACCGTCCGCCACCAGCCGGAGACAGACGGCCTCCGGCGACCGGCGGCGGAGATGGAGCCGATGAACTCGCGGATGATGCGCTTCTGGGGGCTCCGCCACGCACCGTACCAAATGGGGTAAACGGTGATGTTGCCGGTGAGGACGGGGCCCATGTGATACCTCATTGCGACGAATTCCGACGAGCCCTCGTACTTTTTGGACCCGCCGAGCAGGGAGTCTGTCGAGTTGGGCCTGGAATTGGGCCACGGCCGCCAGCAGGCGACGGGCCCGGACCAGAGCCCGCCGAGGAGAAAGAGGAGGAGGAGGAGGAATTGGGCCGCGGCGAGTGGCACCGCCGGAGTCATTTTGGGGGACTATAGAGTGAGGAGGAGTGAGAGTGAGAGGTGGTTTATAGGCAGTGAGAATAGTTCATTGCGAAAAAGGAACAGAAAATTCTTGGAGTTGATAATGGGTGACAGACAGATATTTCCAAAGAGGGTATAGGTGGAAGTGTGGGGGCCCATTAACTGTGGGTCTGTGTGAATACACAGTTTTGATTGTGACGGTGACGTGCAGGTGACTGTGTTTCGGGTGGTTTTAGTGGATCTCGGTTGGTTTTGGCGGGAAAACGGGGATGGGGATCGGGGATAGTTTGGGGATTTCGAGGTGTTGAGCGCGCCTTTTGATCGCCTTTCATGTACTGTGGACCAGGGGTGTCCCCCTCTTTTAAAAAAAATCACCAAAAGCGTTTCAACATGTCCAACTGTTGCGTATGCACTTTTTTTACTGTGTGTTTCTTTTTGTTTTTGATCGGAAAATATCTAGAGTGCTTAGCTAGTTAGCTATATATATATATATATACTAGATTGGACCCGGCTGTGCACGCACAGCCGGCTCTAGTCCAGTCTATAATTATATCTAGTATTTGTAAAATTTTTAAAACACATTTACCCACATTTCATGGAGCAACCAAAATGCCATATATTTTTTTGTTTGTTTAAAATATTTTTCACAAATATGTCCTTCCTATTTTCTTTCTAGGGCTGACACGTGTTCTTTTTTCTTAGCAGTTGGAGAAGTGATTTTTTTCACAAAGAAAATAGGAAAGACATATTTGTCTAAAAAGGACACGTGCCGGCCCTAGTTCAGTTTATAATTATATCTAGTATTTGTAAAATTTTTAAAACAAACTTATCCACATTTTATGAAGCAACCAAAATGCCACTATTTATTTTCAATTAAATTTTCCACACATATTTTTTACAACAAAACATTTATATTTATTAAATTAGTATTTTTATCGCATCAACTTTAATTATTATATTTTATTTTTGTTTGTTCAAAATGTTTTTCACAAATATTTTTTTCCAACAATTTTTTTACCACTCTTTTGACTCATTTGTTTGTAGCATTCAAACAAATTTCTCAAAATAATTTATATTCTAAACCATTCTCATTCCTCAGTTTATTTCATGGACGACCAGTGCCGAGTAACGGTGGCATCAGTCAAATCAGTCCTTTTCTTTTCTCCAGCAGCTCTTTGTTTCTCCAGCTTGGATTTCTTCTATGCAATTTCAATTCTAGAGTTCCCTGGTGCAGATTCGATTGATTGATTGATTGATATAGGTAAGTACGCAGAGAAAGTGACCCTAAGCAATTTACCAAACACACTCTTAAAACTCTTAACCACTTGTACAATTCCTCTGATTCAGCTTTTGCTATCCGCTTAAAGGCCACAAATAAAACCGCCTGCAAGAAAAAAGGGGCAAAAAATGCTGATCGATACTTCGAAACTCAACAAACACAAAGTAAAAAGAATGGTACGACCCTAATTTCAGCTATATGCGCTTCAATAATGTGTTTATATGTCTCAAATTTGAGTATGCTATATGTGTAGCAATAGGTGTTTCAGTAAATGTGCTTATAATTTCAGTTATATTATATGTGCTTCAGTAATTATGCCTCGACATTTACCATATATGCTTCAGTAATGTGCTTATTTCCAACATTACTTTTTCTAATCATAGGCCGTACCTTTGAAGATTTTTCTGGAGAAATAAAATATATAATATGGCTAGTAGTTGACATAATGAATGAAAGCTAACCCAATAGGCATGGAAAAATGTATGTGTGTAAATATTTATGCACCACCACTAAAAAATATTAAAAAGCGATAGGCTCATACCTAAAAGAACCCGACTGGACCCGAATGGAGAACTACTTAATCTCTTGTGCATGACCTTGTTATCAGCACGACGCCACTTGTAAGACAAGGTCTGGAGAATCTGGTCAAGGCAGAGACAACTGCAAATAAAGGCAGAGTGGGCCTCATCCCGGAAGCCAGGGTTAAGTAGGCAGGCTTCATGGCTAATGGTGAGGTTGTGGAGGAAGCCATCATCTCTAAAGCACACTCAATCAGCAAAAAAACCTAACCACATACAAACCATCTGATCATCATCCCACTAAAAATCAATTATCAATAATTTATATTCCTACAAAAATAGAGTTTTCACAAATAACGTAAGCAAACAGGAAACATACATGGTAGACTTCAAGCCCTCTCGTCTCTGATCCTCCTACCCAATTGGATATCCTTGGGCATAATCGTCACCTCTAGGTGTGAATAACGCATAAGTTAGTGTCGTCGAATAGATGGGCATAATTGTCACCCTTGGCCGACTCTTTGCAAGCTTCTACTTCAGGGCTTAAACCTGTATAAATCCATATTCCCTATTCAGATGACAACTTTCAACATTCAGGAACCACTCATGCGGAAAGAAAAAATTGAAATAGCTATAATCAGGTTTCTAAATACTTTTGTCACCCACCCATTATTCATGATACCCCATTCTAGTAAGCTAATACAAAATCTTGCCAGCTGAACTTTTTTTTTTTTAATGCCTTGATTAGCTAATTACGATCAGTGTTACATGCAGCACCCATAACCACAAGCTACTGATAAAAGTAAATACCATTCTTTTGAGTATGAATCATCCGTGGGATAGTGGAAAAAAATGTTTCATCATCTGACAATGAAAACCAGTAAGTACTATTTTACACTTTTACACGATTCTCTCCAAGGTTAATTTCTGTGGGCATTTGCATTATTATGAATAGCTGACTTGGTAATATTTGTTCAGCCTAAAGGGACAATATTACAGAAAACTGACAATTAGGAAAGATAGACATTGCATTTAATCACATTGATCATTATAGTCACATAGACATCTATGTAACTGATAAATAGCAATGGGATGAAGGATAGTAAGAAATCTCATCCTTTGTTTATTACAATTGTTGGAAGTTTGAGAATATATTTTTGTCCATTTCTCGTTGTATATCATTGATCGTAATCAAAGAATAATAATATTTTCAAAATATTTCTACAAATTACTACTTTAATTATGATCCACTTCTTAAATTTATTCAATGTGGTGAGATCCATATTTAGATAAGGCTTCGCCGCCTCTTGCAGCGCCTGTGTAAAAAAATGTCGGACTTGTGAGATTGATATATATCTCTTCTAATAGAACAAATAGTGATCTCACCATGGGATAGATTTTTTTTTTCTCAACAGAACGTTCTTAAGTTACTGCACGACTAATGCATTCAAGTAATGTCTTAAGAAAAAAGTTGGACCTTGTCGTTTTGTAACCTGATCATAAGACGATCTCATACGATTTATTACATGTGTGGTGTCTGTCTCTTTAAGCACATGTCTGGTCTAATGTGTGCTCAATTTAGTTAAAATCTTAGCTCTAACCTAAGAAGATTACTAAAATAAAAGAAAAACATAACTAAGTTTATAAGAGGGAATAGAAAAGGATGCCTTTTTTTTTCTCTTTTGAGCCGCACTTTCAATTCAGGGTGTAAACGAGCCCACTGATACTTCCACTTGAATGCTATGTCCCTCACTATATCATAGTTGTAAAGTTGTACCTGAAAATAATACAACACCCCCATTCAACCATATCATAGCCCCTTTGCCCTTTTCAGTTATGGGAATTATCAATTGGGGCTACAGTAAAATTAGTGGGGCGTGCATTTTTCGGGCTCAGTGCCTTACATTGCGCACAGTTAGAAAAATAGAAGATAATTTATGTATATGCACAGCTGCGTTTTATATGATACTCACTTTTCAATGAATCGTTTCTGGTCATGCTTTTCCATCGCTGCAACACAGTCCTCGAGCTTCACCGGCGGTGGCGAACACATGGCTGTTTTTCGGCCTGGGAGCGTCCGTTTTCTTCTTTTGACCGTGGAGATTTGTTGTAGTGACAACTGGCCAAGTCACAATAAAACTGATTCGCCTCTATACTGGAAAAGAAGAACATAAGCACGAAATGTGAAGCTCTTGAACAAACAATAATTTATTTTGCTGAAAATCTAGAAACTTTACGAACAATATGAAATCTAATTAGCCCGTTACTTAACTAAATAGATTTCATATACTCCCAGGACATGCTCAAAGAAAACTACGATCATAATGCACCCTTAATATACTATTCGACTTACAACATCTGCTCCAGAAATACGGTGATTCTGACACCACTAGCGTGGTTGATAGTTATTTCATGATGCTTCAAAAAGGAGACTTTTCAAAACCAATGAGTGGGGGCGCAAATAAGCAACTAAATGCATATCAAAACGGACAAGTAGGCCTACGCCTCTTGCAGAATTTACTGCTCGGGCGATTCAAGTACTCGTCATATTCGCCATTGCCTCTCGAGAACCCAACCCGCTCATCCTCCTATTGCTCCTCAAGAAGGCCCGCTCGGGTAGAAGTCTACTGTTAGTGCAGCGTATAGGCCCATATGAGGACCACCTCCGCCTTCTGTAGACAATCCCGTCTCTAGACCACTCTTGGTGGGGGGAATTCATCCTTCTTCCTGCCCTTTAGTAAGGCATGCACCATTGGTCGGGCGACCGGATTGAGATCAAGCAGGGGATTTATGGCGGGCTCGGGGATAACCCTTTCTCTACATGGTGGAGAAAGTCCTGTTTTGCCACCCCGAGCTCATCAACATGCTCAATGATGTCATGTGGTGAGTGCCGCATGAATTTGCCACTCGTGTTTCGAGGATATAGACCACTGAAGTTTTTCTGTCTCACAGACAGATAATCAGATGGGCCATAAAGAGTCCCAGATGCAAAGTCATTATCAGACGGGTCCCGGCCACCGAGCTTGGAGACCTGATCATTGGGCTCACTGTCGAGTATTTTCTTGAACCACTGTTAGTTTATGTTTCATCCCTAAATAAGTACGACATGAAGTGAAAGAAAAAGAAAAATTGAGTGCCAACTATTAGGAATTGAATCACAAAGCAACAAAGACGCCTTTATTTTTTTATGCTTTTGGTAAATC